AAAAAAAAAAAAAAAAAGAAGAAAAAAAAAGTGAAAGATGGACCCATGCAAACAGCTGTGCCTCACAGCAGAGACACATAGCTCACACTCTCCACTCCTCATGCCTTCTCTTCCACTGACATGTCTGGCTTCTCAAGCTCCAATGGTCTCACTGCCATTCTTACTGACAGTCATCTTCATACCAAACATTAATGAGCTAACCATGTAGCTGACAGCTTCTTCTGAGCATCTATTTTTTATTGTAAGTCCCCAATATTTTAAGATATTTGCATGCTCAGCATGGTGGTTTATGCCTCAGAGTGCTTCTCAGCACTCTGAGAAGCTAAGGCAGACAAGCTTCAGTCCAGCCTGGGCAACGTGGGAATCAGTGGGACCATCAAAACTAAAAAAAAAATATTTAAAGCTACAGATGTAGTTTAGTATACATGTTCTGGGTTAAATCCCTAGTACACCCCTCCCCCCAAGGCACTTATGTTGTACAATGGTTCTCATAAACCAAAGAGGTCGACTGCACTACCTTACAGTTGGTTACTTAGATAGTCTCCAACATGCTATGGCTCCCTGGAGCCTATTTACTTATCTGAAAAGTGGTAGCAACTATCTCTACCTCACAGATTGTTTGAGGCTCAAAACAGACATGACCACCAAACCACACAAAATGTTGTAGAGTTGATGTTAGTTACCATAACTTTTCTCTAGGAAGAAAATTCATCCAAGACCTACAGTGACCCCGACCTGTGTGTCCCCAGCCCCTACTTACCGGATGTTGTTATGATTGGCCTTGGGCAATTTCTCGCAAGCATTCCACAGAGCCTGGAGCCTCTTGTCTTGCTCCTGAATACTAGGAAATTGATAAGAAAAGTCATTGGTTGGATACAAGCCAGTGAGGTCCACTGTCATTTATATTAACTAGACGGTGATCTTCATAGTGAACGGTACTGACCCAACCACACAGCTGACTGAAGTAGCAAGCTAGCATTCACAGTGCTTGGCTACCACATTTCCCTGTCTACGCTCTTCTTCCATCTCATCCTATGCTATTTTAATAAAAGTTGCTCTGCGCACATCACATGTCTCGGGGTGAATGTTCCAGGCTAGCACATGAAAGTAGGAGACTAAAGCCAGAGACATGCTCTGGAGCACAGGGTATGGGGCTAACAGGGTACAAGATGCTAGGCAGGGAGCTAACCCTTCCTGCAGACTGTGAGGACCATATTAAGTTCTCCGACATCTGGAAGATAACAGATGCTGACTAACTTTTGAATAAGTAAATTATATAAATATAAAGAAATGTGGACCTCAGTAACCATAATTCCAGAGATGAATAATCCCCACTACTTGAAGGATTTTTCAATGTACAAAGTGATTTACTATAAGGAAGGGCTTCTTTCTTTATAAAGCGTCTGTTTACAAGACTTTCTTTATAGGTTTCTTCATAAGTCTGTTAGGTTTCTCCATTCTCCTCTCTCTCTCTCTAAATATTTATCTTATAGGGTTACATTTTTACCTAAATCTACATCAAGACCTACATGGTAAGAAAGCATTACAGTTCCCTCATCAATCCTGACAGAGGGGAGAAATATCCTTTCCTCTGGGTCAGCCTTGAGAAAGAGGCAGGCATTATCCACATGGAACTTTAAGTAGGAGACCAATGTGGAAACCGAACATTGCACTTAGAAATGGGAAGTAACAGAGTAACAGGGAAATGGAAAGTAACAGGCCGAAGCCTGACCAAGGTGTAGGGAGCCCAAGACACAGCTCCTCCCTGATTGGGATCTTGTGCCAGCTCTTCAGCTTCTGAAACCCACTTTTTCCTCTCTACAGTGAGGTTCATAACAGCACTTCCCTCACAGAACTTTAAGTTAGAGTCTGTAAAGGAGAGCAGGTACAAATGCCCAGCTTTGCTGCTTGTTCATTAAAAACTTGCAATCAAAATTAAATGCTGGCATTTGCAGCAGATGTTGCTGCCACGGTTGTCCCTTGTGTCATTTGCTGAGGCAACGTTATGATGCCCAGCCCTACTCCTCATTTTGCTGTTGAACTTTTCTTAAGATAATAGGTGTGGGTACAGTTAATGGCAGGCCACTGCTTTGGGCAGCCCTCAGTCCCTGGATCCCCAAAGACCAGACCAAACCAGCGTAGCTCGCTTGTGCCAAGTATCATAAAATCAAACTGAACTTAGAAAAGTCCTGTTTTTAAAAAGCAGGAGATCCACAGCAATCAGAAGAGGACTAGTTTTCCTGAGACAACATGACAAGGAAGTCCCCTCCGCTTTAGCCCTGTAGGAAGGGGTATTCTGAAATGACCAACTTACTCTGTTCCCTGTTTCTGCTCCTTTAGCTTTTTCTGCCTGTAACACCAGCCTCACCTGCTGCCTCAGTCACTTTCCTGGTCACTGCAGACAAACTGTCTGATACCCACAACTCAAAGGAGGGGGTGTCTGGGGTGGTATATGGATTTTAGACTAAGTCCCCAGTCAGCTGGCTCTGAGGCAGAAAGGGCCTGGTGGAAGGGGAGGTGGAGCAGAGCTGCTCCTGGTATGGCATGAAGGGAGGAGCCAGCACAGGAGCTAAGGCCTTCTGGGCCACACCCTCAGTGACTAGTCTCTTTAAACCATACTCTACCTCCAACGGTACCTCACTGAGGAGTACAGTGCCTTATGACCTAGCTACATTCCAAAAGCCCAGCATCTGAATACATGAGTCTAAACTGCTCAGCCCATGGAACACTCATTCTACAGAGCTGCCTGCCAACCAACTCTAAAATTAAAAAGCTAAGGAGATCTTTAAAGTAAATTTGGAGTTATTTTGCCTCTGATAAAGGGCAGTTGATACTCAAATTTTATTTAATGAACATGCCTAAAGGTGCACAAAGCCCCCACTGTGTGTCAGGCACCATCCTAAGGGTTTGGAAGTATGTGGGAACCAGAGTACTCCTCAGGTTATGATGCACTGAACTATTCTCCTCACTTTAAAACACCAAAATTATATATTCAGTTAAAAGGGGGCGGTTTGCACTAAGGACCACGGTCTCTCTAGCACCGTAGTTTTGTTCTAGAGAAGCATAAGCTGCTGTGGTTAAGCACAAAGACCCTCAACCCAGGCTCCTTGAATCCAAATTCTCACTTGGCCATGTATTAGCTAGGAAGTAACCTGCTGCGATATCCCACCCTGGATCTCTGTAAAACGATGAGGAACCTATCCATAGAGTTACTGTGAAAACCAAGTTACTATAATGTATAATGAGCTTAGAGCAGTGTCAAGCCTCTAACAAGCACTCAGCAAATGGTATCCCTTATTAATATCATCATAAAATTCACTCACTCATCACAAAGAGATAAAACAGTATCACATATTCAGCCCGCCTTTTAACAATGCACTGTGAAAGGTGTTATGGAATGCAGTCGGCATAGCCTTTCTGGACTGCACATTCAGGTTGGGCTTCAGTCGTCAGTCCTGCTGAGTCTCTCTCAGCCCCCAGTCCTTCAAGCAGAAAGGATCAATGGTAAATGTTTGAGGTGATGAACATGCAGTTCACCCTCATTAGGTCACTGCACAATGCATATGTGCACTGAAACGTCATATTATGCCCCACAAATCTGCACAAGTACTATGCATTAATTAAATTTTTTTATTTTGTAAATTAAAATTATAAAAGATTCATTAAGTTGTTTTCTTCAGATCAACTCTCCAGGGCTCTTTCTAAGAAGCTAACCTGTTTGTCCTGGATGACTAAGTCCCAGGACTTGAGGTCTTTAGAAATTCTGCTCATGGCATCACTCCAGACCTCCTCTCAGAAAAATGTTCTCCCCTTCCTGTCTTCTGCCTGGCTGATCTTTGCCTCTGCCACCGTCACTCTGGTGCCAACTCGCCTGCTCCAGTGATGTTGACTTCCTCACTCTACATGTCTAGTAAACGTAGATTACTGCAAACAGCACTTACTTAAACAGCTCTTACCTGTGACCAAGCAGAACATGTAATACCTTCCTAAGGCAAGCAGAAGCTGACAAAAGAAGTCAGGAATTGCAAGAGAAGACCATACACTAGAGCACGTGATGGGGTGGTGGCTCTGTCTGGAGCCTTTGCCCCACTGTCCACTCTCCTCTTTCTCTATTATCCCAAGCTACCACATGGTCATGGGCTTTGCTCCTGTCACATAAGCACATCTTCGGGAGTGTGGGACAGGGTGCACTGCCCATGTGCTACATTTTTATATTTCCAGTACTTGTTACTGAAATATTCCTGTTACAGTTTAGGGGAAAGACCCCTATCCCATTGTCTGCCCATCTCTTATCACTGCCACTGCCTGAGTTTTTCAGAACCAGCTTGTATGCACAGCCGCACTTCTAAAATTCTATTGTCTTGGGTATGCGAGGAGCTGATTTTTCTTTTTACAAAAATAGAATATTGTATGTGTCCTCATCAACTTACTCTATTTTAGTCTACAACAAATCTTATCTTTTCATACTGGCCTGAATAGCTTTCACGGTTATTTAACCACTCCAGAGTACATCACAGGGTGCACACACCACAGCATACTAAGCCATGCTCTCCACTGACATCATCCAAAGGACCTGCAGTGCTTTCTAGATTTCTGCTGCCCCCAAACAATGCTGCAATCAGGATCCTTGTGCATGTCTCCTTGGCAACACATCAAAGCATTCCTTAACAATGCATATCACAAAATGGATCTGCCAGTACCCAGGCTACAAGCTTCCATAATTACTGTAAATACACTCAGCTTTCTGCACTGGTTAGCTCCTCATGCATAGACATAAGCAACTGTGAACTATACACAATGTGGATGGTGATACCTGTACCAAGTGTGGACAGACATTTTTTTCTTATCACTTATCTCTACACAATATGGTATCAAAACTATTTATATTTACATTGTATTAGGTACTATAAGTAGTCTGAAATGTACAAAAGGGGATATGTGGAGGTTGTTTGCAAATGCTACACATGTCACATAAGGGACCAGAACATCCAGCGGTCCTGGAACCAATAGTTCTCCGATACTCAAGGACAGCTGTTATAACCCCATAAGCTCTAACCCACAGGGTACCCTGGCACAAGGTACTCACTTGGAAGCCTGGATCCACTCATCATAGAGTTCAAAGGTCATAAGAGGTTCTGGCAGCTCTCGGAGGTAAGATTTCAAAGCCCCTGAGCATAAACACAATAACATCTATGAGACACTATGGCACACTCGCCTGTATCGTCCACTTGGGCTCCACTGGAGATGGTACCCGTAACCCACAGGATGTTACAAAGGTGGCGTCTCACATGAATGAGCCTGGGCTCTGGCAAGGGGACACAGACTGACAACAGCCTTGACCACTGTCCCCCTCATTTCTCATATGACCTCATCTCTTGAATATGAGGGAGACCGCTCTTCCAGGGGCCAGAGCAACCAGGCACAATGCTGGACCCTGCAAGTATGCACCTGAAGCAGCGGGGAAGCCACTTTTCCAGCCACTATGGGTATGCTCACCCTTCCCTGGAGTTCCTGCTGAGCGCACCCTGCTCAGAGGCCACGGGCACCCACCTGCAATGGCATGGGGGTCGGCTGAGTACTCCTGCACATCCACCACACAGCAGTCTAGCGCAGCTTTTAGCTTCTTCAGCTTGGAGGCAGAAGGAGCTACACGGAAGAGGCCCTACCAACAGGACAGGGGGTCAGAGCACAGCCTGCAACTCAATGACACAACAGCTAAAAAGAGAGGTGCAAAACCATCAGTGTAAATTTCCCCCAACACCAAGCACGTGTCAACACCGTGACCTCCTGGCTCCTTCCTTCAACATAAGCAACTCGAGAGTAACTACTGGGTCTTTTTTTTCCCACCATGCAGTTTTCAGCGCCTAGCGTCAGGGTGGCTCACTGTACTTCTTGTTCTCATCTGAGATATTATCAGATGCTGAGTTCTAGCAAGGTGGATGGAAAAGGGCTTATGTGTGCGCGTGTGTGAGCATGCGCGCGCATCTGTGTACGTACGCATAGACACACGCACACTGGGAGGCTCCAGATATAGAACCGTGTAGAGTCTATGAACCTAATACAGACTCTGTCCTCAGAGAAAAGGCAGACTGGGGTTGGTGTGTGAGGGAGTCTTCCTGTTCCATCCTTTGCTATTTTGAAACTGCTTTTACTTCATCCAAATCAATCTCTGCACGTTGTAGAGCAACAGGAAGCAATGAACAGAAAGAGGAGGACGGGGTGTGCAGAAGATAAAACACGGGCCAGGACTGGAAAGGGGCGGTGGAGTCCAGAAGCTGGGCATGATGCCCTCTTGGTCTGTCCCACCGTCAGCTCCAAGCCTTCTGGGATGTAACCCACAGACTGAGAAACAAGCCAGCAGACCATTTCTTTGGCTTTAAACTTCTAGGCCCACGGAGTCTTCAAGGTCTTTAAAAGACAATGATCCTGGGCTGGACTACTGAGTTTTTGGTTGCTACAATGCTTTACTCTCTTTTCAGCAAAGACTTTGTCAGATAAACAGGTGTCCAAACCTCTATGGCATGAGTGGGCAGGTCATGTGAACATATTTGGAAATGTATCTGCAAGCTTGTTATGACAGACACAAAAGGAATGGTTTAGATCTTCAAAAAACCACACCACTGTCAAGCAGGAAGAGCCAGGAGTATGCAGTGATGGACAAGGCAAGGACAGGATGCACCGTACCAAATATTACAGCCACATCTCACTTTAACTTTCCATAATTCCAAATGCCCATGGCCAAGTACAGTCTGAATATACTAAATGGAAAATTATAGAAATAAATAATTTATAAATTTTAAATACTGTAATGCAGTTACAACTATTCTACTAGTTAGAATATTGTTACCTCATACTATGCCTAATTTCTAAATTAAATTTTATCACAGGTATATGTACAGAAAAAAGGACAGAATATGTAAAGTCTGGTGCTATCCATGGTTTCAGGCATCTACCAGGAGCCTTGGAACATATCCCCTGTGGGAAGGAGAGAATGCTAGGTAAGCCTTTAGATTTTGATTGTGGAACTCAGGGAACACTGTTCTAGTAAGGGAAGGTTGCTGAGACAGTGAGTCCAGTTTTTGAGGGAATGTGGAAGACCAACAATAAACACAGGCATGGAGCCCTCTCATGGGCAGAACCCTCACAGAGGCTGAGGTGAGGCTACAAGAGAATATGATCACACTGGGGAGCAGTGTGGAGGGCGAAGAGTGGGACTGAGAGCTGAGCAGAGCACGCTGCAGGCCGTGGGTTCTGGTCAGAATTAGCAGGAGCCTCAGGCGGCCACTGCTTCAAAGACAGTGAAATCAGTAACATCAGGTGCTGGGGCAGCCGGGGTAGTGGCAACTGGGACATCAAATCTGGCAACCTGGGCTCCTTGGGGTCATGCCCCAGGGGATGGCATTTGTCACTTGGGGTGGGGACAGTAGTGGTCCTACAGGAGGAAGGTCGGTAAGCAAGTGGTGTCAAAGATGCACAAGAATCGAGAATCGAGCCTTCAGAGTTACTTTAAGAAAACTGGGCAGCATACAAACACCAGTGAACCAGAGAAGGAAGATGAAATTGCAGAGTGGTTGAAAAAACAATTTTTTCTTTCTAGGCTGCAGGAAGCCTAAACATATTTGTCACAAAAAGAGAAGAATTAATGAAAAATAGAGAAAAAGGAAAATAGGGAGGAGGTAAAGAGAAAAGGAAGGAAAGAAAGAGGCAGAAGGGGACAGACGGAAATCAGAAGACTAGGACATAAGAAACCATTCTTCAAGAACCAATGTACACTGACTAGATATTTAACGATGCTAATAAATTATTATAACAGTACTATAATATTATAGTATTTGAATATTGTAATACTACTATAGCTATATTTTAAAACACCATCTTTCAGAGAAACCCAGTGTGACTGATAGATATGGTGAATATTTACATTTTTAAAGAAATAGCACAGTAAAAGACACACAGTTATTAATCTCCCTCGAAATATCCCTGCTTGTTTCAGACACATGACATCCCTCCTGTTACTCTCTGAGCGGTGGTGGAAGTCCTCCTTTGTGTCTTCAGTTGTGGTGTAATGGGTGCCTCCATGTCCCGGATTAATTCAAAATGTTTCCCTTTCATGGCGATTTCCACTTTAAGGAAGAGCCAGAAGTCACGCAGCACCAGATCTCATGGATAAGGTCAAGGAGAAGACACTGTCATGTTTTTGCAAGCCCTCCTTTCTGTTGGATGGTACTTAGCAGCAGCATTTACTGTGTTTTGGATCATTCCTTATAAAGACACTTACCAAAGAAGTGCTTTTCAAAGTGACAAGAACCAGAGGATAAGTAGGTTTGAAGTAATGGGGAATATTTTGAGGGGATTAATGGGCAATGTGTCTTTTCCAGTATTAAGGTTATTTAAAAAATTGAAACAGCGACAATATATTTTGGTCATAACACATATATTTTACAAGATTATAAAAGATATAATGCCTGAAAATTGTTTCAAAATATGCAATGCAGAGATTAAGAGCAAAAATGGAAAAAAAAACACAAAATAAGATTGACCAAGACCCAGAGATAAAGCTCATGCTTTTTACATGGGTAAGTTTTTCCATAATTATAGAATAATGATAGGGAATGAAAATTTCCTCCATGAAACTATCTTTTGGGTATTATAGAGATCTCCTTATTTTGTATCTACAACAAATGCAACAATGTTAGGCAAATAAAATATGGTAAAAACAAAACAAAAAAACAACTACAACAAAAAACACCCCAAACCTCATTCCTTTTTGAATGTCCAGCAGTTTAAACTGGTCTGGTACACAGTGAGCAACCCACAGAGGTCTGAGCATCCACTGGCTTCCTTTTCTTCCACCACCCTTATCTTGGTCCATTTGTAGTAATACTCACAAATCATACCCTGCTTTGGATTAACCCTGCTTCCTGGACAGAGATGCTACACTCATCTCTCCCAGTAAGTTTTTATAAGCCCATCTCATTCTTACACTTTGCTCAGTAATAAATGTATGACATGTTCTAAATAAGTGTGGCCTGGCTGATCAGATCACAGGGAGACAGGGCAAAGATGTTAACACAGCCCTTGGAAGAAAGCAGAGATGGATCGAGCTCCCAGAAAATGATTTCAACAGCAACTAAAACAACTGCCACCAATTTCTTATACATTTTTTTAAAACACAGGCATCTTACAAAGCATTTCCTAATGTGTCTATTAATCATTTTGAGGATCTCTATTAAAGAACTGTGATCTAAAAGTTTCAGAGCTCTACTCTGAAAATTAAAAAACGTTTAAGCAAGAAGAGGAAAAGGACAAGGGAGGAGCGATGAAGGAGGATGTAGAATTGGTGGTGGTGGTGGTGGTGGTGGTGGTGGTGGTGGTAGTGATGGTGGTGGTGATGGTGGGGTTGCAGCAGACTGTGAAAATCATCAAACCTTATTAAACATGAAGAAACAATGGATGAATATGGTCATATTCTAGACATAACTCAGATATAATTTTCATGTCTAACTTATGTCAGTCTCCCATGATCCTCCACTCTCTCTATAAAAGTGACGGTTCAGGGGACAAGCAGGGTCAGTGAGTGTCCATAAGAGATGCGATATGCTGCATCTCTATGTGTTGGATTTGAGGGGGCTGGAGCAGGGCTGACACAAGACTGAAGGCCTCACAGGCTGCGCCGCCAGGGGGAGATCTGCTGGGGCGGGGTGTGGCCAGCTCTGCCCTACCTCCTCCTGCAGCCCACATTCCAGCAGCATTGTCACACAGGCCTCGATGGGGAAGGCGATCTCCCGGCCGCTGATGGTGAGGTGCTCTTCTAGGGGCTTCCCAAAGGAAGGCTTCTCCACCCAGGCCTCTGAGGGGCAGAAGCAAGAAAGGGGTCAGTCTGCAGCTTGAAAGCCTACTCACAGTGACATCTTTTTCTCCCCTACTGCCTAGACTCCCTTGAGGCTACCAAAGAAACAGTGGTACTACTGAGTCTTCACTCTTGTGGTTTCAGGAGTGATGGAGACAAAAGCAGAGGTGGATGGGTGGCCAGCTACATCTGGCAAAGTGGGGCAGAAGTAACCCACCCCAATTCATCCTCAAAGAGAGGCAGTGTGCACAGATGGGTGTGCCTGGCTTCACTGTAACTGGGTCAACAGCAGTTTGGGACATTCTGGTGACGCTATCAAACATGACCTTCAACGGTGGAGCATCAGGCAGAGCCAGTTCAGAGACTCGATGTCATCTGGAGGGCAAGCAGCCCCCCACTTCCCCCTAAAGCCTGCACTCACCTTGTTGTGCTTTTATTTGAGGCAACACAGCCTGTAGTAGCGTCAGCGATTTCCTGTGGTATTCAGCTTGTACTTCTATTAGCTGAGAAAAGACAAGGGCCAGCATTATCCTCTGCCAGGACAAGGGCACAGGCTGCAATGGTACAGGAGCGCTTGCTTACAGGAGAGGGAGCTGAAGCCCTTCCCTGTACCTCCTCCCATCCCTACAGTCCTGGGCATGTTCCATCTTGTGTCACAGGGGACACACCGGATGCTGGGATTTGTGTAGCAGGACAAGCCTGAAGGAACAGGGCAGCCTGCCAGAGCTGGGACCTAGCTTGGAGAACTAGTTTTGGCCACCCCCACATTATTTAAGTTTTCATGACTCAGACTCTGTTACTTCCTGGCTTACAACTCTAAATCTGCTTTCATTGATAAGAGGCCGTCAAACATTCTACATCACTCATTGTTTATCTACTTGCTACTGTAGGCACTAGAGACGAAACAGTTATCCTCATCTCAGGTCCTACTATTAGACACTGGTTTCAATATTGGTCCTCCTGACATGCTCGGCTAGATAACTGTGTTGTATGTAGGAAGCTGTCCTGGACTCTGCAAGGGGCTTCACAGCACCCTTGGTCTCTTAGCTACTAGATGCTATGCTACCTCCTCCCCAACTGTGACAACCAAAAATGTCTTTCCTGTCAAATGCTGACAAAGAAAGAACGCAAACTACTCTTAGTGAAAAATCCCTGCCATAGATAACTGAGATGCAGTAATTTTCAGGGATGAGGCTGGGTTTGAGTTTCAGATTTCTGAAAGAAATTTGGACAAGAAGTGAAAGAAGGCAGAATGATTCAGCAGTAGAAAGGTGAGGAGGGAAAAAACATCTTCATCTGCAGTCTGCTCAAAGAACCAAGAGTCCTAGGCCCACCTTCCCCTACTGCCTGCACCACGGTTTTGGCCAGGAGACTTTCTGCAGTCTCACTTTTCTGGACTCTTACCGTTTGAAAGTAGTTTGCATAGTCGATTTCTTTGGCCACAAAACTGTACATGTCAGCAGATAGCTGGTCCTGTGGAAAAGGAAGATAAAGCCAAGGTAAAACACCACACAATCGAGTGGCTACTATGGAGTCTAGACATCATAGAAGGATACTTAAATACTGTTTCATCTCACTTTAATAACTCTTCCCCCCAGGGACTCCATGTTTCCCAACCACAGCCCTAGAGGGCACGTGAGTCTGAAAAGTGCACCTGTGTGAGGGTCCCCCCAAGGGCTTCAGCTTGTGAACCGCAGCTACAGCTGAAGCCAAAGCTGTTGTCAGGAAGCCATGTGCAAATTACTTTCTTACAGCTCTGTAGCTGGCACCACCGATCCAATGAAAGCACCAGGTACAGCCCATGCTGTGGCACCCTTCACTCCATCATTTCTCTCTGGTCACACTACCATCCCACTCTCCTTCTTTACTGGTCATCAGCATAGAGGGAAGAGATGAAATGCAGCAATTTGGAGACAGTTGGATAAGACAGGTGCACAGGGAAAGAACTGCTGACTCACAACTTGTCAGACCCTGCACTCATCCCCCATTGCACACAAATCCAGTGAAAGCAACAATCCTTCACCAGTCAGCTTTCCACAGGCTTGAGCGGCACTGATCTAATGCTTCCCTGGAAACTGGAATGTCTGACAAAACATCCTCCAAAGAGAGTGGTTTTTTTTCTACAGAAAAATATCCACAACCTCAGACTGCAAGTATAGATTCAGAGCAAGATATAGGCTCTGGCACTAACTACAATGCAGCATGTCAGTTTTCTGACATGATTCATGCAAGCCACAGGACCTCTGGGGTCCTCGAAGGAGGTGTGCAGTTGCGAAGAGCCCACGTGGCCAGGCTGAGGCAATCTTGAGAGCAGCGCGAGAGAGCTGGCCAGAACGCTGAGGGAAGGAGGGCCTCGGGAGCACCTGCTTCACCAACGCTCAGGCCGTCCCCACTACCCCAGCAGCTCCCAGCCCCTCCCAGTGAGCCAACTCCCAAGGAAGACACCGGGTGTGCAGAACAACTTGTTTTCTTTCCAGGACCTGTGACAGGCAAGTGACTACTGAGAACATCATTCGAGGTTTCTAGCATACAAGGCAACAGAGACAAGTCAGAGATAAAGGAGGAAATCTATTTTTCAAGGAGCTTTAAGCATAGATGAGGTGACACTATGCCTAGTCCATTTGCGGACAACAAAAAGGAAAATGAATTCACATTCACAGAGATGACTAGGTGCCAAGCAAGCTGTTACACAGGAGTCTCAATTAAGCCTCCACGGAGAAGTATACGTCCAATTTGGGTCAGCAGGTGTCAAGAATTCAAGGATCTTACCACTCCCTCAAAATACTCAGCACAGCTGGGCCTTAAAACTCTTACCTGTTAAATGAACAGATAAGGAAATGAAGACTCAGAGTTAGCAAATCTCTCAAAGAATAAAACAGGCTCGAGGTCCGCAGAGGACCTTCCACAAAGGCCTCTGAAGGCTATCAAGTCCCACAAAGGTTTGCGTGATGGGGTCTCATCTGGATGCACCTTGTGCTTCATCCTGTGGCAGTGCCGTCCAGGAGGCGTCCATCAGCAGCTGCCAGCTTGAGGGAGGTATCTCAGACAGAAAAAAAATAAAGAGTCCAGAGATAAAAATGGCTTGGCAGACAGAAGAAAGGAAGGCAGGCCCTGAGGGATGAAATGTTCCGTCAAAGCCACCATCAACATCTCAGCACCAGAACTTCTCAGTTAGATGAAGTAAAAAGAAAAAGAAAAAGAAAAGAAAGAAAGAAAAAAAAATGCAGTATACACCCTCAGGAAGATGAAAGCACTGCTAAAGGTCAGACGAGATACTGTGCTACTAAACTCATAGTACGATTTCTGACAAGCCATACTGCAAGAAAGCAATTAATGTGAAAACTATATGTCAAATTTCCATTTCAGTAAATCACTGACAGTTTTTCAGTTGAAAAGGGGAAAAAAAAAAAAAAGACTCATCTAGTCAACGATTATTAGTTTGACATATCTTTAAAAAGTCAATGTCTTCTGATTTTGCAATGGATCTATACGCAGAAAACTATAAAATAATCAAATAGGGGTGCAGAGATAGTTCATTGGTCTAAGCGCCTGCCTAGGCAAGCGGAGGGACCAGGGTTCGATCCCTGGCACCACATGTTGCACTGGCCCCACCCCAGTTCTTACCACTCCCTCAAAATACTCAGGAGTTCTCTGAGCTGGTCACCAAGACCAGGCATGGTGGGGCATGCCTGTAATTCCAGTGCTGGGGAGGCTGAAAACAGGAGGATCACTATGAGTCCGAGCTGCATAGTGAGACCCTGTGTCAAATACAAAACATTAAAAAAATAACCAGATGTACTAGTTATTTTATCTGACAGAGATTTCCACTATACACACACAGGCATGTGTACTTTGTATTTGTTCTATCTAATCTAATCTTTCTGCACAATTACTTGATTTACAAAAATGAGACCAGACTGCCTTTGCAGGTTCATGACTCCTAGATAAACATGGTTTGTAATGGCCGCAGGTTTTATCACATGGATAAAATCTGTGTTTCCATTGTTGGATATTGTGTTTCTATTTTTCTATTATTATCATGAGACCTGAATAAATATGTTTATACATCTGTACCCATCCCTTGATTACCCCCCAAGGTAAGTTCTGTGTCTAAAATTATTTCTGATTATATAACTTTAATTTTAAAATATAAAAACAAAATGATTGAGACCTTGACACATACTACCAAACAGCTATCAGAAATAGCATCATTTATACTATGAAGAAGAATTTACAAGTGTTATGTTTACTTTCCACAACAAGCCCTTTTGTTGGTGTTTCTGCTTTGTTTTTTGAGATAGGGTTTCTGCTAGGTAGTTCAAGGCTAACCTTTGAACTCACTGTGTAGCCCAGGCTGGCCTCAGACTCATGGCCATCTTCCTGCCCCAGCCTCTGGAGTGCTGAGATTACAGGCATGTGCCTGTAAACATTTTACTATACTTAATCACTATTAAATATATCAAAATTAAAATGATTTTAATATGTATTTTTCAAGATGCTTTCTTCCAGACTTACTATCTTTATTATCCATTGCCAATTTGTTGTCAATATGCAGTGTTATTTTTCTTTTCTGAGAAGCTTCTTCTTTTACAGTAAGATTTATAAAAATTCAATATACAAATTTTCCTCTCATTTTCCCACTTACCTTCTGAAGCATAACTACATTAGGAAAGATACTATGCCTTTTTATCTTGTATGCTATCTATTACATTTTTTACCTCTTCCTTTGGTAATATACTATACTTACAACTTCTCAGCCAGCACTATAATTATGCATATACATGTGCAATGAGTAACTTCTAAATGTTTAATAAATTTGGAACTCATTTTCATATTTACCTACATTTTTCCCCCTCAACAGCTAAATAAATGCCCTGGTACTGTTCATAAATAGAACAGATTGTGCCTATGGACTGGAATTATATTTACTAGAAAAACATTTCTCATAAGCTTAGATCTTCTCTAGGCTGGAGTATTTCTCTCCTGAATGGTCTATATTTTTCAAATAGCATCTAAATTTTAATTATGTGACCCTATGCTATGCTTTAAGAGATAGTAGTTCAATGGTCCTAGAATCCACCGACACTTAACTCTGGAAACCTTTTATTACTCTTTCAAAAGTGCACTGTACTTACAGTTAGTTATCACAACACTACATCAATTAATCAAGTTAATTTCAGATAATTCAAGTTTTAGAATATTGGCTCTTTTCTACCCAGGAGCATTTCTCAAAGTTGTATAGCCCTCTGATTTTTTCAGCAAGAGTTTAAAATATCTTAAAATTCATGTCTTTATACCAGCATCCCAAAAAACAAAGTAAAACACTTCCTTCCCCATTAACAAATTGGAGTCAGCTGAGGAAATCCTCTCTGAACTTATGGTTGACAACAGAAATGTTCAAAATTGAAAAGTAAATGCAAAAAAAAAAAAAAAAAGAAAAGAAAAAAAGAAAAAAGAAAGAAGAAAGAAAGACTGGGAAAAGAAACAGACTATCCAAGCAAGCTCTCTGGGACCACTATGAAAGATATAGTAAAAGCATAAGGAAAATACAGGTTGAAAATCTCTAATCTGAAAATGCAAACTCTGCCCTTCTCCAAGACTTGCAACTGTTTGCATGCACACATGACGACACCCTAAGGAGGACATCCCACAGCGACCTTCAGTAGATCATAGTGAGGGCTCAGGGACTCAAAATATTGCATAAAATGACTTCAGATTACTTATACAGGGCGTATGTGAAATACAAATCAGTTCTGTGTTTATATTTGGGTCTTGTGCCCAATATATCACATTGTATATGGCAAATATTTTTAAAAATCCAATATTCAAGACATGCTTAGTCTCAAGCATTTAGATAAGAGACACTCAGTCTATCACAGAAGAGAAAGAAGAAACAAAAACAATAACAACTGAAAGTTTCCTAAAATAATCAGACACTAATCCACAAATCCAGGAAACTCAGCGAATACTAAGTAGGATAAATAGCCAGAAAATTACTCCTAAACATATCCTGTTCAAAGTTCAGAAAAATCACAGATACACTAAAAATCTTGAAAAAGCAAAAACATCAGAGAAAGAAAACTTAACCTATAGAGAACTAACAATAAGTATTCCACTCAACTTTACCTCAGAAATTATGCAAGCAAAAAAGGGGTACAAAATATTTAAAGTACTGACATCAACTCAGAATTCTATACAATGAGAAATTATCTTTCCAAAGTAAAGAAGAAATAAAGACTTTCCAAGCAAATCAAACACAGGATATTTAATGCCAAAAGGTCTATCATGAAAGACACATTAAATATGAATTGTATAGATAAAAGGAAAAAGATAGAGGTCAGAAACTGACATACATAAAAGAACAGTGCCAAAGGGAAAAATGAGGGTGAAATAAAAAAATCTTTCTTATACTTAATGATAACAGATAACAGTTTGCAAAATTAATAGCAATAAGATACTTAGAATTAGGGATG